ACCAGGGCGGTCCTGCCTTAGACTGGGATGTCTCCAAGACAAGCTTGGCTGTTCCTTCCTCTGGGTAGCTTCAGCCTTAACACAGGTTCCTGAACGAGCTGGGGAGTCAGTGTAAGGGTGATTCAGCTAAAGGGGGGGCCTCTTCTTCTCCGGCCCCTTCCTCAGTCTAATCTGCCTCTTCCTTATTGCCCTGGCTTGAGCTGCTGTCTCCAGCCTGCCCTCGCTCCCAGGGGGTGTCTCCTGGTTTCTTGTCCCATGCCCCCTACTCCTTTCTTTTGCGGGCAGAGAGGTACTGGGGATGCCTCTGACTCCTCCTGGGTTCTGTGCTCTGCCCCTCTCCCCTGGTCCTTCAAGGAAGGAGATCATCCAGGATAGGCAGGAGGATGCTCTGAGGTAAAAATGTGAGGAGAATGTCAATGCCCATCCCAGGGTCACTCATTCCATCTGGGGTTACTTAGTCTGTGGTGGCAAGGCGCTGGGCCTCAGCACCAATTTTCCCCACCCCTGGGGAGTGGAGGGCAGGACAGGCCAGCTGACACCTTACTGCTTGAGCCATTCCTGTTTCAAAGCCAAACAGCCCCTAGTCTTAATGGAACCAGGAGAGGGCCAGAGCGGATGCCCACAGCAAGGCCTGTTCAAGGTGATGGTATGCGCCCTCTGGGTAAGGCAGAGCACCTGGCTGACAGGGTCAGCAGTGTGCTCAAGGTCACACAGCAAACTGTGGGCCCAGCACCTCCAGCAGAGCCCCCCGCTAGGCTTGGGGAGGACCTGGCTCCCTGCCCTCCCTCCCTCCCTGTTTGTACCTTCTTTATGGAACTATTAATGAGTAACTTGGACATTTCTCAGGCTTTCAAGGAAGAATTCCCTGGACTGACTCTCTAGGCTATTCCTGGGAGGAGGGCCCCTCCTGTAATTGGCCTGAATTAACTTCTGAACCCAGGACCAGGGGAGGGCGGATCAATGACACCGCACTGGCCTGCCCTCCCTCCCTCCCTGTTTGTACCTTCTTTATGGAACTATTAATGAGTAACTTGGACATTTCTCAGGCTTTCAAGGAAGAATTCCCTGGACTGACTCTCTAGGCTATTCCTGGGAGGAGGGCCCCTCCTGTAATTGGCCTGAATTAACTTCTGAACCCAGGACCAGGGGAGGGCGGATCAATGACACCGCACTGGCCTTTGCCTGGACTGGAGGTCAAGAAACTGGATCCCGGCGTGGCAATACGGCTCTCTTTTTCCCTGTCTGGGCCTGGTTCCTGATCTGTAATCTGAGGGGTAGGCCTCTAAGGTCCCTGTC